TTTTTAAAAAATGCGTTTCTAAAGTGCATAAACGTTTGGGATTGACTGTATAGCCACTACATCCTTAACTTGACTGCCACCACAGATATCCCTTGATTTTGATTATCGAATTAAGAAACACGTGTGTAAATTAATGGGGTCGATTACTGATTTGAAGTAAACTGCCGGCTGCAGAAAGCATTTAGGAATGAATCTATAGGAGGGTGGTCCCATGTAACTGGAGCCATACGCGTTACTCCATAAATATTGACGTTATCGGAAGCTGCTAAACGGCAAAAAACATGGGCTCAAATGGGAACCACGTACTCATTCTGCTGTTCAACATTTTTTTTACTTCAAGAGCCTGCAACATTATTTGATAGTTGGAAAAAAAAGTAGAAAAGAGCAGAGTAGATAACGTTGAAATATTTATAGGAGTGTTATAGTTCACATGAAATTCATTGTCGGATAACTCGAACCATTCGCTTTAATTATAATAAATCTATACAAATTCTATCTAATAAAATTTCTACGCACGTACGCAAAATAAGTTCGAACTACCGAAATCGTCCACGACTTTACTTTATTAAAGTGAAGCGAATTCATACGCGGTACCAGGCGCCAAATGTGATACATATCGTAACGATGACACGTGCGAATGTCAGACATTTTTATCAGTCCAGCGACGAGATTAAACAGCATCCTGCCACGGACTCGCACCGTTTCAGAGCGATTCGCAACGACACTGTCTGCGACGGGATCACTCGCGGTACGAGAGAAGACAAATAGAAGACAGCTGTCCGCGTACATAGGAACGAGACGAGACGAGACGAGACCAGGCGAACCCTCCGCGTCTCTTTCACCCGGCAATGATGCTTGCTGTTCACCGACGTACCCTTCGTAAAGGGAAACAGAAAGGGAATATGCAAGCACTCTTGTAACATACACAGGAAGGGAGAAGATGTGCCATGGAAGTTGCAAGGCGTACACGAAGAGGAATGAAATGACACGTGCAGAAAATTGAAAAATTTATTTAGGACGTAGTGAAAGCAGGATGCTCTCGGTTGGCGAAGTGGTCTAATAGAATGAACGGTCGAGAGGTCGATGTAAATGATCAGGTGGATGTTCACACGGGAACGATTAAAGTGCATACGCGGTTGGACGTGAAAAAATTAGCCGGGTGCAAAAAATATGCAGAACCTATCGAAAAAGGTGAAAAAGAGAACGGCGGGCGGAAATGAGATTGAAAGAAAACGCGCTCGAAAAAAGGAGGAAGAGTTTACAAAAGGTGTAAAGAAAAGAACGAGAGGGGAGGTGGCGTCGAAGACGACGAGTAGGAGGGATGCGTGAAAGGAGCGGCAAACCGAGAGCACGAGGAGGGCTGTGCGCGCGAGCGTGTGTTTAAATACGTGTATGCACGCATTTGTGCGCGTTAAAGCACACGATATGCCCACGGCGTGTTCCTGAACGCACCGCGTGCGCGGCGTCTGTTTGTCCTTGCGTCCTGTCTGATACTTGCGCCTTGGCTTGGCAGTTGCCATGCGGGACACCGGGTCCGTGGGTTGACGTCACTCTATCTCCCAACAGGCGAGTTAATATTGATAAGTAGAGGCGTTACACGCTCTGGAAGCCGGGATCAAGGGAGATGAGTCCGTCCATCGTTGAGCGTTTTGCGAATCACGGACCGTAACAAACCCACTTCTCACGCCGATCGATCGGCGATCAGAGAACGGCCGAAAACGAATGTATTTAAAAAATAAAAAAATGCAAGCGCCATGTGTTTGAAAGACTCTTTTAATAATATCTGCCAAATTGCATATAATATCAATAGGCTGAACTGTCCAAAGAAAGACTACAAAATCCATGTACAATCTCATATTCGTTCATTCTTTAGAAAACATTAGCCTTATCATGCTTTAGAAAACATTGGCATATAAATAGACTGGCGTAAGAGGTTATCGATCAAAACTTTTAGCCCGTGCGTGTAAACGCATCGTTAACAAAGCTACTGCCGCGGATCGATGAAATGCAGCATGGGCGAAATGAGTTTGGCGAGGGGGATTAGCCGAGGGTAATATAGATCCTCGAACACTCGAATAGCTAAATGAATCAGGGGTGGATTCGTACCATCTGCACCTTTAATTTAGGGGTCCGAACTCGTGGACCGCAATATGAGAAAAATATTAATAAACGGAAGTCACTTCATTATTATACTGTTCGATGAGAAATTGATAATAATTAGACGCGGATTTTAAAGTTTGATAAAAAAATTCAGTATGCACAATATATAAAAATTACAAATTCTCTTAAATGAGAAAAGAAATCACTTAATTTTAATTCCCATAAAAATCTACAATCTAATGCTCTAATATTAATGATTTATTAAATAAACAATAAATGCTGAAGGTCCGAGAAGTTTCAAATCGAACGTTCTTTTCTCTTATTCATATAAAGAATCATTAGAGGATCGCGTCGGAGGTATTCAGGTACTCGACGTTAAAGGGTTAATAACGTGAACGGTTGAACAAGCGAGGAGTTCCACTCGAAGTCGAGTTTCCAGGAACGACTTGTTAAAGAAGGAATTTATCGGTAGGTTTTTACGGCTGTTCTTGGTTGCTTTACTTTTACACCAGAGCAAATATAGGGAAGTGAGGCCGGAGCTGATGATACGTCGGAAAGAAGAGAATGTGTATGCAGTTTGTAAAAAGTTTATCTATAGATAATCTGGGATTTCCAGGTCAGATGCGCGACGCCTGTTATAATCTTCTTGATAAGTAAATGAGATTTACGAATTATGCGTCTGAGACAATTTTGTTACGCAACACGTTCTCCAAATCAGATTTCCGTTTATCGAGTATATTCTTAAAAAATAATGTGCCCGTGATCAGTACCCTCATCGGTCCAAGAAGTGTCTTAACGGAAAATGTATTTTGTTACACATCTCCCGTGAGATACACAGCGCCAATATGGGTATGGGGTACGCGCACCCGATTGTTTCTCTCGAATATTTCCTTTCGAAAAGAGAAAGCTGACCCTTTCGAGAAGAGCTCCTCGCACCGTTACCTTATACCTTTCTGGGTTACCGGATCCGCGAAAGACGATATCGATGCAAAAACTTTGGCCAACCTCGAAATCGTCAGCAACTCATGTCAATTGATAGGTTCAAGAAATGTCATTTCATTAATGTTGCAAGTACGACAGTTTTGTTCGCGTGGACGATACGCATTCGTATCTATCGCGAAAAAATGTGCCTACTCTTTGCGTTTCAATGTATCTTATGACCTAGGGTGAGAACCTTGGAGCGTTGCGCTTTCCTCGTACAGTATGTCGTGCAATACGAAGACAGAATATGTATGAATATGTATAATACTGTTCGCATTGGGGAACGGAGACGGAGAACGAAAAGCGGAAGCTAAAAGGAGAGAAACGTGAACGGTGACTAAAAGATGAAGGGAGACGAGAAAAAACACGAGACCGGTGCATGCTCTCTACGCATGCCACGTGTTTTACCACCTGCCTCGGCTAGACGTTCGATAATGGAAAAAATATACGCGCGAATCATTTAAATACTCAGTTAACGCGATCGCGTTTCCTGAGAACAATCAATTCTCTTCTATGCAGTTCCACAACTTGTTACCTCAAACGTACATGTAATTTACTTGCTCCAAAACATTTACTAATAATAAGTAATGATTTAGATTATACACAAACGTTTCATGTACTTGTCGTGACAATATCAAATGGGGTTCGAAGAAATCACAACGATCAAACTATTATGGAAGTAAAATAATTTTTTGCAAAATTTATTATTCTACTCTTCAGGGTTTCCAAAATTTGTCATTGAGATTGATTATTGCGGAGCAGAATGCGAATCAAGAGTCTGTAAACTCTCTTATAAATCATATTGATAATTGATCCGGAAATCGATATATTTAAAAGATCGTGACACAGTTTCAATGTAACGTACAAATTATACATATTGTTATCAAGAGGGAACATAAACGAAGAAAAACAAAGAAATTCCCGTTTCTACGACGAGAGGAAAAGATAGACTTACCTTCTCTTCTTTTTAAACCACATCATCGATCGCTGTTGCATGATCCGCTGCCACCAGATTCAAATACGCATTTAACGAGCCGCGATTTTCTGCGATAAATTTCTGCCGGTCGTCGAACTTGACAACATGGCCGAACTCACCCTCGGCTGAGAAACAATGATTCGCAACCTCAAAGGGAGAGGAAGGATCGAAGACTGCGTGTCAATGTACTAATGTTCTTGATCGAACCCCCGGAACGTCAAAGGACACGATCTATCGACGAGCTGCTATACTGTTTAGTGTTTACACACAAAACTTGACAGCGCAGACCTCGATTTGACGTTCTTGTGTTATGGGTCATGTGCTCGCACTGAATTATTTTCTCGCGCGAAAATTTCTTGAAACGTTCATGCTGGTGACCTCTGCCGTGGGGATCGTATTCTATCTTATTACTTGTTACACAAATTTTGTAAATACCAATAATAACTTAAATACCATGTCGGAATAAAGTTTAAAGTGGTGGAGAAATTTCATTCCTTTACGAATGAAATGTAGTACATATCATATATAAAATGATTGTTACTAAGAACCGTCATATAATCATTACGAAACAAACTGTCATCTGTTAAGTACCGGCAAATATTCTTCCCGCGTAAACAATCTTTTATCTTTAAAGAGACTATTATTGTTTGTCAGTTTTATTAATTGTCGAAGATGAAATTCAGATGTAGAATGGTTGATGTAGTTGCAATGAGAGATTTTACCAGTAAGTTAAAAAAGTAGATATCTAACCTTTGTTAACGTACTTCTTCTTAAACGAATTATATAATGGAAATACCATTGAAAATTGTATAAATCGATATGAATAAATATTCGGGAGATTTTTGATAAGTACAGATTAAATAACGATATCAATACTCGGTTATTAAAATTAATACTGCATTTTTATATGATTTAACATTTTATTCAGAATGAATTACTCAGAAATACAGTACAACTTCATTTCAATTTTATTTCAGACATTGTTAACATTATCTCTCGAATAACAAAAAAATGTACCTTGCGTATATCCCCGAACGAATTGTGCTTCGGTGTCAGCGGCGATCGAACGTCGATGGTCTGGGCGGAATTAAGCCAGGCTCATTTTTTTATCGAATACACGATGAACGGTGTCACCGAGGAGCAGAATGAAATTTACTTGGAATTTGATCCATCTATGCTGGCTAGATCTCTCGGTTCGTTACGGATGACCGCGAAAAGCGTGAAAATGAAACTAACGAACAAGCGACAACCATGTCTCACGTTGGAAATCGAATTAGCTTCGTTAAGCATAGAATCGAGGCAATGCTTGCACGATGTACCCGTCAGAGTCATACCTCGACGAGAATGGCCCGAGCACCAAGCTCCAAATATTCCGGAATTTGATGTACGAATACTTCGATCGTAATTTATTTTTTCTCTGGTTTCAGTAATCTCTTTTAATACGATTTCTTTTAGATCTCAGTCGACATGCCTCAACTCAAACAAGTAAAACATATCGTAGAGCGGATGAAGAATATGAGCTCACAATTAGTATTAAGCGCCGATAAGAACGGATTGTTCGTGTTGGAAGTGGAAACGGACAGTGCCACGGTATCGACGAATTTCCAAAATTTGCAAGTCTGGAGTTGTAGTCAACAGGACCGAGAAGAGAAAGTTTCAGTTACTATTGACATTAAGACGTTCTGTATGTTCATGGCATGGGATGTAGTGCATCCCGATGGTGTGAAATGTAACATACTTCAAGACAAAATGATTAATTTGTTTTTACATTTAGCGGATCATCTTAAAATACATTACTTCCTTCCTTCGATAGCCGTATGAATTCACTTTTAATGTTAATCTAATATAGACATTTTACTTTTTGTACACAACCTTGTTTTCATTCAATTCTTTTTATGTAAAAATAACGTATAATTAATTGATTAATTGTATGCTAAACTGAAGCTTCTTTCATGTTCCTGTCTAAAGTTTTGATGCATCTGATCGATCTGCTGTATCTTCTGATTGAGTAACGTTGTTTGTTGGTCCAGCCATTGTAAACTGTTCATATGCGCGTTCAGTATTTTGCCGATTTGCACGATCGGATCGCTCGAATCTTGAGTACTGTTAGCTTGATTCAAGTGCTCGATAATTTCTTTTAGATCCTCCGACATCCGTTTCAACTGTGTGTCGAGATCTTCTGCTAAACGATACGTATATTCCCTTTCCGGGTCAGACGCTGAAATCGATGCCAATTCTTTCTCTAATGGTACTAAACAATCCTGTAATTCCTTTTGCTGACCATCCTGTGTACGATTAAATATTTTTAAGTAACGGATCGAGATTCGTACTATAAATAAGTTACTTACAACATAATTTAATTCATGCTCCAACTGCTGCTGTTCGACCTTTACTCTCTCAACTTCCTGATTGAGTGCCACTATTTTTTCTCCATTGCTTATAAGCAATTTGTCCCACTCATTAACTTTCTCAGCTTGACTTACAAATACTTTCTCTTGCTCTTCTAATTCCAACGTCCATTTGTTGATTGACTCCTCGAACGACGTTATAGGCGCAGGTTGAAGTGTACCAGAGGACGAAGTAACACTGTAATGTTAGTTAACAAATAGCAGAATACTGATTGAACGCTACATAACGATAGTAGCGAGTTTCCGTACGTTGTAGTGGTCCCCAATGCTGCTTGACTACTCGACAGACTCGTTGTTGCAGGAGTCTGATTCAAGCAAAATGCTGCTGTGCTAGACGCAGTTGTGCCTCCACCAAATGTGAATCCTGTAGCTGCAGAAGTTGTTCCACTCGCGGTTAAAGAGAATCCTGTACATACATTTTAAAACAGTATTATTTTATGATACTTTATAATGTTTCAAAGTCAATACCTGTTGCCGTTGTGGTTGTTGCCGCAGCCGTGGTGACAGCTGGAGTTGCGGAAAGGGTGAACCCAGTTCCTGTTGATATTGTACTTGGTGTACCAAATGTTAACCCAGTTGCAGCAGTGGATGCAGCAGCTTCACCTGCTCCTATGCCAAATCCACCAGTGAGAGGCTTAGTCGCAAATGCTGATGTTGCTGCTGTTGTTGTTGTTGCTGTAGTTGTGCCTCCTAGATTGAAAGTCAGAGTACTTCCAGTTACAGCTGGTGATGCAAACCCTGTGGTTGCTGTTGTACTGGTCGTTCCAAGGGTTAATCCAGTAGGTGCAGTTGTACCAGCACCAAATGTTAGACCAGTTGCTCGTGGTGTAGTTGCAGTGTTTGCAGGTACAGTAGTCGGTGTCCCAAAACTGAAACCTGTACCTTGACTAGGAGTACTGCCTAAGCCAAACATAGGTTTGTTCTGTGCCGGAGAGGATGTGAGTGAAAATCCAGCCGGCTTTGCCGCGTCTCCTGCACCACTTGCTCCAAATGTAAATGCTGAAAAATGATTGATATTGCGAAATGATATGCAATTTGTAATTATTATAATGTACATAATGCACATAATCATTGATACTTACTCGTGGTTGGTGTACCGCTTGCAGGTGCGCTGCTGGCTTGAGTTTTTGGTGCATTGTACGTAAAACTCATTTTTGAAGTTCTATTTCTGCACAATTCTCGAGATTTTAACGATTTTTAAATATTTGATGAATATCCGTTCTGGAATTTCAACTGTTATTCACCGTGCACTTTAAAATACATAAACCTTACGCTTAACCTTATTTAATTTTGTGTCACCGACGTTCGAATAAACACACATTTGATGTCAGAGTTGAGAAAAACAAATTATTTTAAGATACGATTATACCTTGCAATTACACTCCTCTGTGTTCACACAATCTTTACAACTATATACGATATTGAAAAATACTTTGCAGTTCCAACTAATACAGAATTAGATTGATCGAACGGTATTTAATTGTAATATAAGTATTATTTAAATGGCTGTTTTATCTCTTTTTCTCTATTTAATTTTTTTGAGTGATTTTAATTAAATCGTATCAGTGTAATAATATAAAACGTTTTCAATAAGTTAAGTCCTTCGAATGCTTCGAATGTAAAACAAGTAATCTCATCTGGCCAATCCGACCAATCTGACCAGATGGCATCACAGTGATGCGAGAGGAATAAGTAGTTGAGGTCGTTATTGTTAAACAAAGTGAAACAATATTAGAATACTACTAAAAGAAGGAATTAAAAATTATTCGTAACGTAGAACTTACAATTACGCTTATAATCAGTCGTAAAGTATTATTAGCTACCATAAAATGATGTAAATAACAAAAAGGTTATGAGATGACTTTCGGTGGTGAAAGAAAAATATTATTAATTTAAAACAGTGTTTAAAGATATAAGTGTGCAAAAGTATGCGTTAAATTACATCGAACGAATGTAATATTAAGAACTAATCTCTATCTAATAAACGAATATGAACTTTGTTTACACGATTGTTATTTCATAATTAAATTGCTACTCCAGCATCGTTATTTAAAATATTCGTGATCATACACGTTTCCAGAATCAGAATCAACCGAACCAACCAGAACTCTGATTCTGCAGGAAGTTTGCTTACGAAAGCGTCGTTTTACGACCCACACGATCGTTTATGATTCTCTGATTAGAGAAACAGTCCTTCGTCTGATGTTCATCATTTTCTGAAACGAAAAACTTCAGTTTCAGTATCCCGTGCGTGTGGTACGAGACAACCGTTGGACAACCGTTTACATCGAATAAGATCAGTGCTGTTGTGTTGGCTTAATTACATCATTTCTGAAGATATAAGGCGCGAAAATTGGTGACCGGAGCGTGTAAAGATTCATTGTAACGATTTATTGTATATTGCGAGGAATAAAGTCCAAACATAAATTGTGTCTTATATTAACTCTTACATCATCTATATGCGGTAGCGTGACTAAATCGCCCGCATTTAAAAAGTGTTTCAATATCGGTGCTTTAAAATAATAATATAAAACGTTTTCAATAAGTTAAGTCCTTCGAATGCTTCGAATGTAAAACAAGTAATCTCATCTGGCCAATCCGACCAATCTGACCAGATGGCATCACAGTGATGGGAGAGGAATAAGTAGTTGAGGTCGTTATTGTTAAACAAAGTGAAACAATATTAGAATACTACTAAAAGAATGAATTAAAAATTATTCGTAACGTAGAACTTACAATTACGCTTATAATCAGTCGTAAAGTATTATTAGCTACCATAAAATGATGTAAATAACAAAAAGGTTATGAGATGACTTTCGGTGGTGAAAGAAAAATATTATTAATTTAAAACAGTGTTTAAAGATATAAGTGTGCAAAAGTATGCGTTAAATTACATCGAACGAATGTAATATTAAGAACTAATCTCTATCTAATAAACGAATATGAACTTTGTTTACACGATTGTTATTTCATAATTAAATTGCTACTCCAGCATCGTTATTTAAAATATTCGTGATCATACACGTTTCCAGAATCAGAATCAACCGAACCAACCAGAACTCTGATTCTGCAGGAAGTTTGCTTACGAAAGCGTCGTTTTACGACCCACACGATCGTTTATGATTCTCTGATTAGAGAAACAGTCCTTCGTCTGATGTTCATCATTTTCTGAAACGAAAAACTTCAGTTTCAGTATCCCGTGCGTGTGGTACGAGACAACCGTTGGACAACCGTTTACATCGAATAAGATCAGTGCTGTTGTGTTGGCTTAATTACATCATTTCTGAAGATATAAGGCGCGAAAATTGGTGACCGGAGCGTGTAAAGATTCATTGTAACGATTTATTGTATATTGCGAGGAATAAAGTCCAAACATAAATTGTGTCTTATATTAACTCTTACATCATCTATATGCGGTAGCGTGACTAAATCGCCCGCATTTAAAAAGTGTTTCAATATCGGTGCTTTAAAAGATTAAATATTCATTTATTTCCTCGAATATCAGCGTTGATAACTCGTACTTCGAAGAACGTTCTGAGATGGTCTGTTTTCTTCTTTTTTAATGAATGAACGACCCGATTAGGAAATCGTGGTTAGCATAGCGATAACTAAATTAGAATGAACGTGATCTTGTTTGCGAGATACGGTTATCTTCCTGGTTTCATATCCTAACTTTGTGAAAATATCGCCTTTCGGAGTTCGTGAACTTCATTGATTCTCGATCGCAATGTCGTTGATCATTAAATTGTTCGTGTGTCTTTATTTGTCGAACATCGCCGACAGTTCCATTTTAACTGCACCTCCGCAATCGGCAGTGATCGTGGCTTTCGAGGATATCTATGATTTATCTTTGCTAGCCAACACTTTGTCGGATCAGGGGATCGATGCTACCCTAATCATACCGGTGTCGCGCGAAGGTGAACTCTACGAAAGTTTGATCGACGTCGAAGTGCTCAGGGTGGTTGTTGAAGACGAAACCCTCGCACGTCCTGAGAAGAAAGCAATCCAGGCTTGCGAAGCTCTGTTGAAGGATGAGAATATCGCGAAGAAATTACAGGAAATTCAGCCCACTTTCACTGTGTTTCCAGCGCTTAGGTACTTTAAGTTGCATTGCTTAAACTGCACGTTTATTGTACTTATTTCTGATCTTTACGCTGTTTATTTAATCACACGTGCTCAATGCTTCCGGTAGCTGATCGTTTGACCACGCGGCAAGCGATTATTTTTAACTCTAGTTATACACTAGTCATGTTCCGTTTCCTTCCTCTTCCTGACGAAACGAATTTAATACAAGAAATTGTAATTAGGAAGATTTTCGTTGAATTTGTAGACACGATGCTTGCTTGTTACCGTGGGCGAAAGTTATCGAGTCGATTCCGATAATTTGGATACGTAATCATCATGAGGAATTGTACGTTTTTGAGTATACCGGCGCCGCTTTGCCAGTTCACGGCGTTGGACTTTCGGCCAGGTTCTGGTCGAGTTCGTCGAGGAGGTCAATATTCTCTACGGCCCGGGACGAGTACGGGGTTTACGCTCTCCCATTAGCAGGAAAATACTTGCCAGACACCGGTCTCAATTTAGACAATCTTTATTCCGATGTTCGTCTTATACTGTGGGGTTCTGATATTGTGCTGCGTACGGATTTCGTTCCGCTCACTCCGTTGATAGTAGAGGTAAGTAATTTTAAGATTTTGATCATTTGAAAGTTCAATAACTTCTATGATTTTTTTTTTATGTAGGTCGGCTGTCATCACTGCAGAGGATCCCAATCGTTGCAAAGCGATCTTCACAAAGCATTGATCGAGTTCCGATTAGGAACCGTCGCGGTTCTCCTGGACGAGAATTATGAGCCGTTAATTAAAGAGCTGGCGCAAAAATTGCCGCAGGGTAGGGATGGCCAGGCAGTGGTTTGGAAAAATACAAAGTCGAAAAGCTCGACCGGTTCCCTCCCGGAGAATCTTTTCGTTCGGCCAGGAATTGATCGACAAGACTTGATAGGTACATTGAAACCTTATAATCTTCGCGTAGAATCCTAATAGGGTCTCGATTAAATCTACCCATCTAATTCTAGAGACTATTTCCCGTGTTCTTTTCCAACTAGTACTTTTTAATATAAAAATATCAGTTCGAGCATTCAACAGGAATTGTTTTAATATTGTTTCAGGCTACAGTCGCACGAGAGTGGTATTGTGTCATTGTAAAGACACAGAACTCCTAGAAGTCGCTTTTCATGGAACTCCGGTGATATGTTTCCCTAGGAATTCTTACGAGGCAAAGAACGCTGCTAGAGCGGTCCAGTTGGGTTTTGGACGCTCCTCCGAGGATATTCGTTCCATGACTGGCGAAGAGCTAGCCAACGCTGTGAATCAAATTCAGGATACTCCAGACTATCGCGAGAGCGGCAGAAAAGCCTCCTTGGCTATTCGCGACCGGATAAATCCTGCCGTGGATAGGTTGATTTATTGGCTCCGTTACATGGCCAGGACCAAGGATTGGAACTTAGATTTCCTGGCGCCGATCAATGCGTCGAGCATTCTTAATGGGGATCTACACTTTTTCCTGGGCATCTTCGTGGGCGTTTTAGTGGGCGCGTTTATGATCATCGGCTGTCTGTTAATGAGATATCTGGTTTTGTCTAAACGAACGCAGAGATCGAAGGGGCGATACACGCGATAAAAATAAAAGTACGAACGGAACACGGACAGGGATCGATAATGTACGTACACTTTTCGCATATGTATTTATATAAATGCACGTAGAGTACAGGTACATACAAATACAAATGTTACGAGCTAGGGTTTATCTCATTGCTAATGAAGAGACGTAACTATTTATGAGAATATTTGATCGATAATTGATTGACTGAGATTGATTGATTGGAGAAAGCTATAAAGTGTACGATGTAGCGTTGTGTTATCGTCGACGAGGAGAGAAAAATAAATTACAATTTGTCAATACTGGGATACGTGTATGACGTCGTCTCGTTGCACGAGTGCTCGCTCGTGTGCGTTTATCGTCTAGATCCTTAAAAAACATACGGACGAATCGGTACTTATACTCCATTCGATTCTTTCTCTCGCTCTCTCGCTCGTTCGTTCGCGCTCTCTCTCTCGTTTAAGGCCATGTTCCTCTAATTAGATCAGCCGCTTTCGTTTATACCATTCGTACGGAGAATGATTATTCGTGTGCCGAATATACAGGGTGCTTCGTTTATTTTGTATCATATCGACTTCTTTTACTTTTGTAACCGTTCTGTAATAAAAATACATGTATATACGTGAAAAACTAAATGTTCATGACTTTAAAAAAAGACGTCATGTTCAATAAAAAGATTTTTCTAACGAATAAACAGTTTTATGTGTCACTATCGTTTGTTACGCGATCAACCAAAACACGTGTATGTACACCTACTCACCAAACACTAAGTAACGCTGTCAAATTACAGGAATAAATTAATATTATTTAAAGTACAAGAAGTTACGAAATATTTAATAGTTTAAATACTTGAATGAGTCAGCTTATACATTCGTGTCATCAGAAATTTCACGTAATCGCGTGTCAGTTCGTAGAAAAACATCGTCATTACGTAGACGGGTGTAAAATAAACCGATCTCCGTGTGAAAAGATTCGTCGTCATTGTAAAGACTCCTACATACCTTGCGTTTATTTTTTCTTACGAAATCATTTTATAAAAAGCCTAAGCGTTCGTGGTCTTTTTATAGAAAGACTGGAGAATTTTGCAAAAAGACTGCGACATATATGGGTCAATATTATATGTGTAGAAAAAGAAACAATGTCGTTATATATATAAAAAGTAAAATATAGTAGAAGATAAAAAGATTCTCCTTGTGAAAATCGAAGGATCACCGAGTGATCGTATGAGAGATCGCGGCGGGTGATCAAAATTCGGACTTCGTAATTGACTAGACTGTGATCTGTATAGATCATCGTGGCTGAAATGCGACGAAACATCAGCTTTCTCACATCGCGCAATGAGATAATACAATGTAGAACATTCCCTACGTGGAAGAATTTTCCAAATAAATCCTGTTACGATGATGATGATGATGATGATGAAGATGAATAAAAATCGATAAAAGAGAATTATAAAATATTATCGAGACAGCTGCGGAAAACACAGGAGCGATCACTGTTATAAAAAAGCTCCGGTATCGTCTTCCCTTACGACGCAGCATTATCTCATGAGCCTAATTAACATCGATCGTGTACGTGGGTACGCTGTCTGTTTAAAAGACGACAGGACTGACATCGTATCATAACCGGTTTGTGAAACAAATCGTTTAGCAATCGAAACGTCATCAATTATCAATCCTGCAATTGTTTAAATAGACCACGTGCGTTTCGTGTACATGTTATATGCTTATCTATATACAGCGCGACGGTCGTGGACGTAAAATCTACAAAAACAGTAAAGAAGACAGTATGTACAGTCATTGGCAGAATTGTTCCCGAATCGAGCGATCCGAGGCGAACTGCCGGGAGCGGATACGCGTCACTTATCGCGGCCTCCTTTCGCCTATTTTTCTCCCTGCCCGCTTTTTTTCTTTTTCTTTGACCTGGACTCTCGCTTTCGTAGTCCGCCTCGCTCCTCGTAACTCGCATTGTTCGCCGCGCCGGTACGCTTCGGCCGAGATACTGCGAGACGTGTACAGTGAGCCGCGAAAGTATTTAAATGCACGTAGATAGTAATCGTAACGAGTTCAAGACGCATAGAGTCGCATAAAAATCACTCTAGCAAGTTCGTAAGCCGTCTTATATTAGCGATGATACGTACTTTATTATTCCGTACTTATTTATACGTATAATTATTCCGTAAACATGACTGTGAGATGATTTTTAGGAAGCTCCAGTTCATTTCTTTCAGCTTCCAATAATATTTTTGCTGCTCACTGTAGCTCGCTTCGTATTTAGGTGAAAACAGGGTGGTTCTACGCGCTAGAGAGCATTGGTATAGTATACAATGAGATACCTACACATCGTGGAGGTTTTTACCTCGAATATAAATAAGACTCTCGCGCCATACGCGAATGTGCGAGCACGAACAGAACAGAAAGGTTTGAGGATGAAGAGGAAAAAAAGAAAGAAGGACAGGAAAGGAAGGAATAGAGTGGTCGTCGAGTGGTCTAACGTCTCGCCTATATTACTCTATTTCGTCCGCGTGTTCAGACGCTCGTTCATCCAGATACCCGATCCCGTTCACGCGGAAGCACATGCACGCACGCTTTTTTTCTATCACTCTATCTCTCGCGTCAGCAAAAACCGTAAATTATTAACATATTGAGTTTCGCGTCGCGGTATCTGCGCGCGTACGCGTTTCGTTGCCCTCACAGTTTCGAATTAAGAATTCATCGTTGCGAACGAGAGTTTTCATTAAGTATATACCAATGAGTAATCCACTTAATATAAATCCGCTGCATTCGCGCGGACCTGGTTGCAATAAATAAATCTATACGCACAAAACTCATTATGTACATAGAAAGTACGATGCGAATCGAATTTTGTGAAGTACAATTATCATACTCGATGGGAGAGTGGAATATCCATTGGCACGTTTAATTATTTCGTTCTTCCTACATATATTACATAAAATCGTAGCATAATACGAGCAATATTACCTGTGTATAATTTATACTCTTACCTCGAGCTCGATTCCCACTAATTCTCGGATACATTCGGGAATCGGACCGATTTTCATCGCCGATCCTCAACATGTTAACATTTACATAAATAATGATGCACCTGAGAGCCAGACTAGCATAACGAGCCGCGCGGACTGCAAATTTTCATCTCGTATTATCCGGTATGCTGCGCCTCGAATGCACGTCGAGACGATTCCAGTTCTCTGACACTGGGAATCCTCCATGTTCCGTTTTTTCATTCGACTTACTCACTTGAATTCTCGATCGATTCTTCAGAGCTGTCGAAAATTATTTGAATCATCTTCCTGAAGCGCGGTGGCCTTACGAAACTCTGACTGTCAGGCACAGAATGCACTATAACGTAACGTTTCACATTTCGTAGCCTCTCGCGGCGGTTTTCTTCTACTCGACGCGCGACCGGCCGCAGTAATACAGCCGGGTCAGTCTTAATAAACGAAGAGATTAAAAAAAAAATGATGCGGGGTGGTAGATGCGCGGTCTCTACCCTGATTCCGTCGCGACCATTGGAGAACGAGGCCATCGAGAGATCTCGACGTAGAGGGTCGTGAAGCACCTTTCGATAGGCCGACCGGAATGCAAATCTTTATCATATCCTTTGTCTCCTCGCCTAATTGCACACGTGCTCCTCCCGCTTGTGCCGACACAGCTCGCACTTCACGTGACAACACCAGACGAACCGGCAGTTGCACGTTTCGGACACGTCCCGTACTCTAGTCTGGTAGCCTCGGCCGCAGCACAGCAATCGGCATCCGTCCAGACCGGGGGACGTCCGGTTGCATATCCTTCCTCTTGTCCCAGGAATACCAAGCCTGTAGTAATGAACAAGTACTTTTAGCAAACTAGGTTTCATTATTTACAATTCTGTTGAGCGTAGACGACTGCAGAATGATTAGTAGAAGGACGATAACTCACGTGATATTTTTCTCGCAGTAGTCTGGACTGTCTTCGAGGTACACTAGGTCCGTTTTGTTAGGTCGTTTGAGGTCCGGACGAGCAGGCCTCAGTCTCGCCGGTCTTCTTCCGCCACGTTGCGCCAGTCGTACCAAAGCCGCGCCCTCGTGCAACGCGGCCAGGGCAGCTCCCGCGACCCTAAACGCTGGCAGTCTTCTCCAACAGACGCGCAAGCTGCACGAACCTGACATACCTGTGATAATCATAAAATTCCGTTTAAATTGGCGCCTATAGAAAAAGGAAAGTCATTTGATTCCTCGCAAGAGATTCCTCCCTCAATTTATTTCATATTCCTATTCGTTCGTCCTCCAAGCACAGACTTCTACGTCCTTTCTAAATCATATTGAGAGAGCAACAAGAAAAGTAGATAGTTTTAAGATTGGACATCATCGTGTTCACAAGGCTAGTAAACCGAACAACGCATTCCACCATTTCACAGCGTGCTTGGAGGCTGAAACAGGTCTTGGTAGAGAGATTCCGCCCATGAACCTGTGTAAGGCAAACTCAGGAATGTTCGTGACAATTTCGCATTTCTTTTGCTAAATGCTATTTGTCGTATCCAAGCGAATCCAGTGATAAACGAATATCTTATTTCGATCCAACAGAAATTATACTTAAACGGAACGGGACTTCTGACTCTAATTTCAAGCTCGTAATACGTAATATCAGGTCGTTGAACTCGTGACATCGTCGACGACAAAATTAAAAATATGTACTTGGTGTCTTTCGATATATCAAAGTGACATGAATTTTTCGTTAAACGAGTATATTAAAATTTATTACTGATCTTTACAGCACTTTTTATCAGTGTACCGGTAATAAAAAAATGGTGTGAACAGAAGAGCGGGTGGAACATGGGAGGTCAAAGGGATCGGTGAAATCCTAAAGTCGTTAAAACGTGGAGAATGAAAAATAAGAGCGTGGACAGAGGTTCTTATCTGTAGAACGCGTTAATGGCTCACCGTGACACTTGCACACGCGTTGCATTCTCGAGCGGACCGCGCGCCTGCCAGCCTCGCTATCGTGCTTCCTCATCAGCTGGCCAGCCAGCCCTTTCGGCCCGTGCAGCACACCCTCCTTCACGGGTTCCTCGCCACCGTCCGACCACTCTCGCGAGAACTTCTCACCGAAATGGATATCCTAAATTGCACGAGAAAATAATTGTTTCCTTGAAGTATTCTGATAAAACGATGCGACTCGATTAAACGACCGTACATGTAGTTAAAAAAAGAAAATGCATCTGATCGTCGATAGAGCAATAAAACAAATATTAAACACCGTCCGTGCACTGCGTACTTCTCGTTAACTAGCGATACTCGACGCTTCGAGTACCACTCGAACCTCTGTTGACCTAGTAACGTATCTACGGAAATATGGAAATAATAATCCCCCACAGGAGACAGAAGAACGATACCATCTTAAGAACGATACGAAGAATTACAAGAAACATTCTGTCTTATGGGAAATTATGGTGAAGGGGTTCAAGAGCGGCCAATTTGGAGAAAGGATGAGAAATTGCACGGGGAAGCTAGTTGGCGTCGACATATCGACGAAAGATGCACGTTGGCAGACGATATTCGTTAACCCTGAGGTCTAGGACGCGACACAGTGTCGGCAAACATCATTATCTCGAAAATCTGTCAACCGGAGCTGGGGCCGGAGCACGGCTAGATCCCACGGGATCCGACTCGTTAAGGAATCCCGCGTCCGGAACTTGGGTAAAGGCCAGAGGCCGCACAAGTGGGCGAGCGAGTAATCCCGAAGGTAAAAGCATCGCCACTTTCCCGACACTTTCCGCTCCTCTTCCTGCCACGTGAGTTCCTCGAGAGCACGTGTATCCCTCCTTCCTTCTCTTTCTTTTTTTATTTCTTTCGTCTAGCTAGCCCGCCTTTTTTTCTCGCTACACCGGAGCGACGGTCATTTCTCTGTTGTCTTTTCTCACGCTCTCCTCTGTTCTTACTCCCCTGCTACTCTCTTCCTCGTCTCTCGCTCTCTCCTCGAGGAAAAAATTATCCCCATCGAAGGCAATAAACTCCTGTATTGCATTGGACACGATTCGTATCCGGTATATGTAATTACAGATTCGCAGCAATCGTATAAAAGAAATATTCAAATCCATGGTATGAGAGAATTTGCTTCTTCAGGCTTCGCTAATTTTTTTCTCATCTACGATTTGTCCTCAAGCTTCTTCCGTACACAACTGTTTACCCTCCACCTTACCCTCCTTTCCGCCTGCCCGTATTTATGTTCGTGTGCATCGCTCACGTGCGAGTTACGCGGCCGATATGCCCGGTCCCGGACGGCCGCGGGGACAGGAGGCGGCGGGTTGTTGCAACTTAACAAGCTTAGCCCCCTTAATCCCCTTGTAAGCTAGCAATGTCTACAAGGGGTCAGCCGTACGCATGAAATGCATCCGTTTACAGGACGAGCTTTGTCTTCGTCCCAGGGTTAAGGTTTACGTCGACCGACCCGTAGAGAGATCGAGACGACAAATTGGGGATGCCCGTGTGCGGGGCAGTGCTTCACCCCGTCCAGCGCTTAGGGGGTGGCGTCCTCCTATCTGGAGGGTCAACGGAATTCAGATTCTTATCTTTCCTTCACAATTTTTCTTGCCTTATATTTTATAAAACTTTCTAGTCGTTCTATTTCCTTTTTTCGAAGCTGTACGATAATTCTCCAATTTGTTGCACATGAAGGAGCGCCACAGTTTCCGTGGATAAAAACGATCGCAATCTTGTAGTGAAAGACGGACCAATTTAGGTAGGATAAACGCATTTTGATCGGCCCATTAACGCCGAAAGCACTCAAGATAACTCGAACCCACCCTCCGCATCATTCCCACGTTTCCCGCCCATGAACTATCAACAACGCTGATTCGGAGTTAATACACTCGGGAATGAGACAGCGTTTCCTCAACCTCAACCCTCCTAGACTAGATCAATCAATTTTCTTTAGTCACGATATTCGAAAATCTCTTCCTTAAATAAGAGAATCATTAAAACATTCCAGCAAGTAGTAAATGAAATATCTATTCGCTCATTTATAAAATCATTTTATAAAGAATGCAGACATTGTAAGAATACAAATGACCCAGTTATGATTCGTGAAATCAAAGAATTTCAAACAAATATAAAAATTATTCATCATTCATTATAAGATTGTTATTACATAATTTGTCACATGATTACTGTTATAATGACTTAATAATTTTCTATCAGTATTTAATATCAGGTGTTTTAATAAACACATGTAAGTGTTTTATGACTCATGAGATACGTTTGTTCTTAACCAGCCCTGCCGACCAGTTTCCAAGAAAAAGCTTATGCGAAGGGTTTGTCCCCTGAAACGTGTTCACGGAACGCGAAGAGAAGGATACTATTACGCGTATCTGTTCTGTACAAACCTCGACCCGGAAAGGGTGAAAATAATCGTCGTTTGTCGGCGGAATTTCATTAAGTTCCCCGCCTAGTGGTTACTGCGTTGGATTGATTTACCATCGATACGAAGCAGAAGAAAATTGATCAACGCGCGTACGGTTTCGCGTTTCCGCGAGATTAAAACCAGCCAGGGTGTTTGCACCTTTGCCTGGTTTAATTAACAGTTGCGTAACAAGAGCAATTTGATCGAATCGGAATTAATTAAGCCGCCTTTTCCTCAAGGTGAGGAAAATAGTGGAATATAAAACTTCGTAAGGAAATGTTCGTGCACTGTAATTTAAATAACAGTGCAGTCTTATTATTAATAATGCTAATAAAGTACGCTGCCATTTTTAATTATAAATGATGCATATTCATTAAACCTGTAAACTGTCTCAACTCAGAAATTAAGTTTTCTCTTCTTACTCGACGTCGAGTTTTAACGTTAAAAAAGTACAACATACCGCAATATGTTCTTTTGTCTGGGTTTAAGTAATAAGAATAAAGGAAACGGAGAAATTACCTCGCTGCATCCGCCCCATTGCCAATTATTCGGACGCCGCGTTCTGACCCGGTTGTCGCACGAGCAATCGGTGAGCTCACCCCTGGAACAGGCTCTGGTGACGCTGTAGGCAACCCCCGCCGCCGATATTGCGTACACGAACGCTGCCTCGCGACTGTCTGCAAAGATGCAACGGAATTTCTCCGTTCTAATGCAAGTTTTTCCATTTCTGCAAGCTGCTAGGGCGCTTTACTTTGATAAAACTAGCATGGACGAGTACACCTGGTCCGTCTGGGCTTTAATTAAAAATTACCTCCACTCGCATTACAGCAGGAAACTCTTTTCGTTTTTTACCCCATTCAATTTGTAGATAGTAATTTAGTTTAAAAAATAGTTACCGATAAGACTAAAAATATGACTGACATTGTTACAATATTAAAATTGACAAAGTTTTTATTCAAAGTAACGAAGTCTGTGAAGCATTATTTATCAAACACGAGCGTAAAATTGATAGAAGAATATTGCATACGATAATGCATATTTAATCTTACTATCAAAATGGAATGAAAGTTTCAGCTGACAAGCCCTCGAGACACGTTTTCGGTCTGAAACCTCCATTTCCCATTCCTCGCTCTCATCATCTTCCTAAGCTTTATTCCCATCGTGAGCGAGCTTTTACTTACTGACTAGCATCACGCCGCCGAAAACGTTGTCCGGATTTTCCGGGCTGATGGAGCAGTTCCATCTGGCCGACCGGAACTGGTGCTGACACTCCTCGATGGCCAATCTCGCGCCCGCGCTGACTGCCTGCGAGTAAAAACCGTGAAAGCCGCGAAATGGAAAGGAAAACAGCACTCCAGGGTATAACGAGCATATACATATAGGAAGCAAAACCCGAGGCCGAGAGCTCGCCTGAGCTCGTTCACATCTTAAAATATACCTCGAAATCATGGATCAAGTGAATTTCGAAATGGATTTTAAATTAATAGCCGCATTGACATTTGACTAACACAAATTTCAATTTACGACATTATCTGAACGTGCTGAATTTTTTATTCGACGTTCACGTTCGAAGGATTTAGTATAAACATCGTGAAAATTCGACATGGGGTTTGGTTTGACGTTCATCCGTTTAATCGCGTTGGAACCAATGAATATTCATGCCGGTCGAACTTTTGTCGGTGAACAGAACTTGGAAAAGCGGGGCGGTCGGCGACGTTCAAAGAGACGTATCGAGCCTCCGGTTTACCTAAGCACCGGTTCCTAGGCGAGGCTTACCCCAGCCACGACAAGATTTGTGCATTAAGCAAAGGTAAACGCGATTTTGGGCAACGACCGTTTTCATCTGTTACGTCTACCTGTAGTCGGAAACATTCTGTCCAGGAACAACTCTTTGGATTCTAACTCTTTTAGCTATCGTATACTGACGGCTAGACTGTCCATTTTATGCACTTATAAGAAAATTAATGGTGCGTGTTATGTACAAAAATTGATTGCGTATTTTAATGATAAATGAAATTCATATCTGACACACATTTCTTAAACTGATATAATAAATCATTAATTTTATGTAAAAATCCACGGTCTACCGATAACTTTATCTTATCCGAATAAGCTTGCAGAGATATGGAAATTGTTAATTATGTGAGCAGAAATAATCAAGTAAGGAAATATGCGTACAGATTTAATAATAGTAATTTAATACATCTGTATAGTAAGCGGTATTTGGTAAGAACGTGTTCCCTGCTTGTTAGCAGTTCTTTATGATAATGCGGTCGTATAAAAGTATCCTTAGAAATGCTTTTTCTCCTTTTTATTGAATTCTTGCGCTCGGTATCGGTTTTTAATGATAGTAGAATTAAATAACGCGGAGGAGAAAGTCCGAGCAAATGGTTTCTTGCTCGAGGTTTAACCTTGCGGGTTAGCATTTTTAAACGTGTTTCACTACGTAATGTTTGATTTTCTACAACTATAACTAATAAAAACCACATTCCATAGATTCTCTTCGTAATCGAAGAATTATTTCACAAACGCACGGACACAACGATAATAATTCTTTTTTTTATTAATTCTGCTAATCGTTTATTTTGAAAGAACGGCGCTCGATTCGGAATTGGCGACTTCATTTCCCTCGACCGCGGGAACAGTCTCGAAAAGGAGGTCGTGTAGGGTTCACTGAAGACCCTGACTGTCCCACAGCTCTCGAGTAAGTATTAAATATTGCACGCGGCAAACGAAAGCTACAACTCGACCGCCGCCCGCCGCGTCGCATTCCGGGAGTTCTTTAGAATCCCGCGAATTCAACCGGACATCTTCCACGGACGTTGAATTTACCCCTCGCGATCCGAGTTCATTCCTTTTTTTAACCCCGCGCCACGTGACTTGAAAGCGACACATCAACGCGATTCTCTCTTTCCCTTTTTATAGTCCGCCACTTTCTGAATAACTTATCAATCTTTTATCGGTTCAACATCTACAAGTATTTTATAATTATCATGTATTTAAGCTTGCCATAATCTCAGTCGTGATTTTCGTTTTCCAAACCGACTGGAATGCATTAGGGTTAAAAAGAAGTTCTTCTTATTGGCAGCAGCGCAAAGATCTTGCGGCACAATACGGTAAATTATAAATTGTAAAGACCCGGCGCGAGTCGAATTAGCCGTGGGCATTAATTTAAAGGTGGAGGGAGAGGTGAATACCTGGAGGACCGGCGGCGAGCGGGAGCATATCGTTTGTTGCTTCGCAGTCAGGTGCACACTCTTGCAGTTCTTTTCGGCGCTCGCAGGACCGATCACACCCGTGCCGACGATCTGCGGCTGGCCCTCGGCACCGCTCCCAAGGCTTGACCCGCTGCTGGCCCGTGGCTCCACGCCCAGATACCTGGAACAATCCCGGAAGCATCCTTATTATCCTTCCCATTGGCAAATCTTAATCCATTAACCATAAATTTATTCTTTATCAGTACGCCACCTTATAATATTGAAGCATTTTCAATTTACGTTACTCGATTTGTAACGCGTGTACTCACGCTCACACATTGTTATTTCATTTGATAAGAAGATTGCCTTGGTTGGTTTTTCAAGAAGTTTGATACGTGCAATAAGAGGCAGTTTTCGAATGAAATATTTTCACTGACCGGAGAGGAGACAGGCTCGGTAGCCTGGCTCCTACCGAGGCTGCCCAGAAAAGAAACTCTCGCCGTGACGAACCACCTATAATTAGAGCAGGTATTCGAGTGAAAATTATAGAGGGGAAAAGGACGAAGGGCAGCGGCTAGGGTAACCGATGCCCAAGAATATAAGAGGACCCACTAACTAACAGAACCGAGGAACGCTCGCAAACGCGTCGGACGGAGACGGAGCAAGTCTTAACAACCGAAGGCTCGGGACCACGAACTGGTCTGTGGACTTAACGACAGGTGAAAAAGCCAACGAATCACGGTGGCAAGAGTCGATATTTTCGCGCGTCGTCCCGGCCAGGCAATATACCTATAGGTCGCTCTTGTGCACGCAAGTGATCATTACGGTCTGTCGGCATTAAATAAATTCGATAATTGACCTGGATGATTGGACGCTCTTCTAGCGGCGACCACCCGGTTAAATTAATGGAGCTTTACGAGAAATTAAATTTGACATGGTTTCTCTGACGACGCGGGTAGCGTACGCTTTCTCCACGAACTTTGATCAACGTGGTAAGGAAATTGTACTGGAACGATGACATTAATCGTTTCACCCCGATTAAAAATAAAATAACCGTGTTATTAAAAGTACCATCGTGCGCGCTTACATTGATGATCAGATTGCAGGTTTTTATATAAAATAATACTTTGTGTCGTGAATTTAAAAAATTGATATTTCCTTTATTCTTAAAAAACAATTATATGCATTTATACGTACATTTGTATTTTATGTACATCAAATTTTTCTATAAATACATAAAACCTGATGCATGTTTCTTACTTTTAGTAAGACAGTATCTTTGATCGTAAGCAAGTTTGCATTAGAATCTAAACTTGAACCAGTGGAAGGGTTACCCTTGAAAAAGAGAAAAAGAAACTGTCAGGGGAGTTACTAATCGGCGTCGCCGGCCGAAAGAAACGGTCGCGTTATTTTCTATTATTTTTTTGAAACCCGGGTTGGGACCGGGCATAGGTAGCGCTCGTTTAGGCGGTAAATCTTAATGAGAATCAAGGGTGTGGCCTTGGCTGGCCCGGGAACGATGATTGCAACCCCGTGGGCAACGTTTCAGGTAACCCCGGGCGATCGCGTCAACTTCTACACGTACGACACACGCCGAGGGAGTGACCAATCCTCGCGCGGACGCACCTTCGAGCTTCCTTAATGCGAGTTTGAGAAGATTTTAATCTGCCCGCCAACTCGATTACTCCCAAAGCGACCGCCGCCGCGGCACGGCTATTCCGAATTACAGACACGCTCGGAGAAGATAAGTCGGCGATGCTATTAATCTCCTCGGATTACTTATCCCTTATTTCCTTCGACTCTTACGCTCTTTCACTACTCCTAATAAAACTTCGGGTATCAGTTCCTTATTTGAATAAGACTCGCGCATTTCTGTGAATGTCGTTTTATCTCTTCCGAACAAGGCAATTTCCGCGATGATATCACGTAAGTCATCTGATCAACGAGACCTGACTGGATACGTTCTTACACTCCTTTTTATAAAAATTAAGGCACTTCTAAATATTTGATAAATGTTCCAAATTACTGATTGTAAGTAAACTTGAATTGAAAACATTCTAACAATAATAAATCTTGTTCCAACGTGCGAATAATTTGTTCGAATAAAACAGATACAAGATATCATCCAGAATTTTATTTAAAGCATGATAATAACTGTTAAAGGATCCACTCATGTAAAAGAGTATAAGAATTAAAAGACATATACATTTCTCCTTGATACGACTATTTATTAGTAATATACGTGACCAATATAAATTAAATATGTACTGGCAATCGGCAATGTATTAATGCAATATGTAGCTGCAATATCTGAATGAACTAAATTTTGCAATGTTCTGAGATTTATGAACGAAGGTGTACACATGTAGCATCTATAATTATCATGAACCCACGGCTAGCACCAGTTCCCAGTAGACACTCTTTTTATCTATCCTTGACCGCGTTAGTCGATGAACCTTTAGTCGATACCTTTTCCCCATAAAGAATCGACCCGAACGAGCCGTACCCTAACCATAGCGCAGCGGGACCGTATATTGATTGCAATATCGCGCGGTTAACACGTGTTTAGGGGTAGCCAAGCATCGAAATCTGCTATTTGACCGACAGCTGAGCCTTTTCATAAACACCGATACTCTTGCCTTAAACGACGGCCTCGTGTTAATATTTCAGGACCCGGAATCTCCGTGATTTCGGGTTTTGTAACACCGCAGAAGATAACGGCGCTGGAAGGATGTCGGAGGCGCTCTTTCGGTATGGAGTGCCGTAAACCGTGACCAAACAAACCCGAAATAGCTAGAGTCGAACACTATTCCCGTTGGATCGCAAACAAATAATAAACCCTATGCTGGTACATGCGTCCCCCTGCACGAGTCTTAGAACATATCATAAAACGTACAACCGGAAGAGATATTATATGAGTACGAATGAACAAATTTAGATTTGCAATATTTCATTGAAATAATCAAAGGAAGATCTTGCATTAAATTTCATTGTTTCAGAATTATTTAATGAAAATCGTATTCTTTTATCAGAAGTACAATTTTATAGCAATTGATAATTTATTATTTATTACATTATTTATTTACTACAATCTTTCATTTTAATCTCTGGACCCTATCAGTGACTTGATACGACTATTTATTAGTAATATACGTGACCAATATAAATTAAATATGTACTGGCAATCGGCAATGTATTAATGCAATATGTAGCTGCAATATCTGAATGAACTAAATTTTGCAATGTTCTGAGATTTATGAACGAAGGTGTACACATGTAGCATCTATAATTATCATGAACCCACGGCTAGCACCAGTTCCCAGTAGACACTCTTTTTATCTATCCTTGACCGCGTTAGTCGATGAACCTTTAGTCGATACCTTTTCCCCATAAAGAATCGACCCGAACGAGCCGTACCCTAACCATAGCGCAGCGGGACCGTATATTGATTGCAATATCGCGCGGTTAACACGTGTTTAGGGGTAGCCAAGCATCGAAATCTGCTATTTGACCGACAGCTGAGCCTTTTCATAAACACCGATACTCTTGCCTTAAACGACGGCCTCGTGTTAATATTTCAGGACCCGGAATCTCCGTGATTTCGGGTTTTGTAACACCGCAGAAGATAACGGCGCTGGAAGGATGTCGGAGGCGCTCTTTCGGTATGGAGTGCCGTAAACCGTGACCAAACAAACCCGAAATAGCTAGAGTCGAACACTATTCCCGTTGGATCGCAAACAAATAATAAACCCTATGCTGGTACATGCGTCCCCCTGCACGAGTCTTAGAACATATCATAAAACGTACAACCGGAAGAGATATTATATGAGTACGAATGAACAAATTTAGATTTGCAATATTTCATTGAAATAATCAAAGGAAGAGCTTGCATTAAATTTCATTGTTTCAGAATTATTTAATGAAAATCGTATTCTTTTATCAGAAGTACAATTTTATAGCAATTGATAATTTATTATTTATTACATTATTTATTTACTACAATCTTTCATTTTAATCTCTGGACCCTATCAGTGTGTAATGTTTGCATATTATTTAGTATGCTATAAATACAACAAATTATCCAGACCAACCGCGGAATGCTGATACACTGGAACGAGTTTCCGTTTCGCGAAACCGCCGTCAAACATACGATCTCCCAAGATCCAGGTGAAACGCAGTACCCTCTAATCGAATTCCCTAGAAAGAAAACCAATTGCCCCAAAAGAACCGCAAGAGAGGCCGGCACCGCAACGCGGCTCGCAGAAACCGCAGCGCCCGATCTCGCGAAACAGACCGCACGTTTACCCGTTTACAAATTGGCCGATCCTGCCGGGAGATCGAATCACGGTCAAACGACACCGTGCAGGATGTCGCCGTCGCGCTGGACAACCACCTACGGAGTAAAAGGGGGATGAAGAAAAGGATGCGACAGCCGAGTGCACAATTCGGGATAACGTCAAAAGGGTAAGTCGAGACGATTGCGGGCGAGGAATAAAAAGGAAAGTCGAGAGATAAAAGAAGCAGGAAAGAAAAATGATACAATTGAGAGCCGCGTATTAATTGAAAAGAGATACAGACGAAAATGTCAAGAGAAGTATGTACGATCGATTGAGAGAAGAGAAAGAAGAAACGTTTCTCGTTCGAGAGGAAGTGAGCGAGCGAAGAGTTTTGAATAAAGCAAAATAGGTAGAGAGGGTTAGTTAAGTTGAACGTAGAATAATAATTCGACAAAGCGGCGGTCGGGAAAAAAGAAATCCATATTCAGATCCGATGATGTATCCGGGGCTGCTCCCTATTCAAAGGGGTTGGAGGACAGAGAGGAGAAGGAAGGAGGAAGCCGCGCGAGCGTGCACCAGGTCCCTCTCCCTTTTCCATCTATCCTTCTCTTTCTCACCCTCTCTAATTACCCCTCTCCCTCGTCCGTTCTCTACCCCTCTACTTTTTCTTATACACACACCGCGTTTTTGCCTTTATCATCGCCGGCTTCTCTCAGACTCCGCCGCGCGACCGATTATGATTATGATTACTATTATGATTATTGTTGAAGGTAGAGGTATCGCGTTGCCGTCACGGGCACGTCGGCCCGCGCTTTGTCCACGTGACAGCGATAGGGCCCATTTACGTCGGGAACACTCCGCGCCGACATTATAATGGGGGATAAATCCCCCGAAAGCCCACAAT